CCCCCCCCTTTTGGGAATGGCCTAAAGACACTTCAGTCAGCGGCACCGCCCCGGGGGATAGATTAGGACTGCAGGCACACTGCTGTAGTTTGTGTAAGAGTTATTTTACGGCAGTTGCAACACAATTAAGTTATACAGACTTCAACAAAAGTTAAGGACCACATTGACAGACAGCCTTGATTTCTTTTAATCCGAAAAAAAAGACAGATAGGAATGTTTCAAAATGTTTTGTTCTGAAAGTGTTAATGGGTTACAAATGCGTATTGCAAAGCTTCATAAAGAGGCAAAACCACCACGTGCAGCACGGACATCCTCGGGGAGTTTTAGCCAAACTTGCTGTTTTTTTATCGACTTGTGTGCCACACCACGGATATTCCTCAGTTAACATATCTGGTGCATGTAATAAACGGACGTACGGTCTCGACCTGTGCTCACTTTGGTGACATTGCAAGCCACCGTTTGCGCAAAATCCAGTATCGCATCAACATTCCATCAAGACGAAAGCTGAGAGACTTTGGTGGTGCCAGAGCTATGACATGGCTGCAGGATGGAATTGGAGACCACTCAGAGTTTTTGCTTGTGGTCCTTAACTTATGTTGAAGTCTGTATTATCAGTGCCGACGACTAGAGGTGTCACAAAAGAACAAACACAAAAAGGGGAGGAGAGATGTCAGATAAGAAAGAAGGTGCAAACCACACAAGAACACCAGTCAACCACCTACACAGGTAAACTGAAAAATAACTTTACTAAAATAGGAGTTTCCTGATAGAATGCTCATTTACCGCCTGACATAGTGATTACAATCAGCAAGAGCTTGCCAAAAGTAAAATATCACACACACACACACACACACACACACACACACACACACACACACACACACACAGCGCGCGCGCGCCCCACACCTACATGGAGGAAGATTTTTTTAAAGAGAATTAAGAAAGAAGAGTACGAAGAGCTGTGTCTCCATATCACTCGCCGCCCGCCAGTCACGATAATAACGGAGAGCACGTAGATCACAAATTATCATTAACGCAATCCTGGCTTTCTTTCTCCCTACGGCCAGCGAAAACAAGAACTGGCGTCTGGTAAACAACACGTAAATACCAGTCATGCCGGCGATAATCAACGGCTACAAGACATAAATGATCCCCTGGATAAACACGCCGCTGTCCACGTGAGGCGGGCGCGGTATAATTATGCCACAAAATGCGGCAGTAATGAACAAAACACCATTAGGAAGGGGTTGTATACCCAGGGCGACGACTTTTCATCTTCATTTTTTTCTCCCCCCC